AAGACAAATGGAGCGAGCATTTGATGATGGTTACAATCACGTTGGCAGGTAAGTTGTTTCTATTGGTGAATATATACACGCCCTCCGAGGGAGCAGCGAGGGTGCGCTATTACAAAGCCATGCAGGAGATCAAAATGCCCAGCGATGCCACTGTGATATGTGGTGGTGATTTCAACTGTATTCTGCTCAAGCCGTTGGATAGAAGTGGTGGAAGCCGGAACAAGATATAGGGCCCACAGAGCTAGAGCGGTTTGTGCAGGAGAGCGGGCTCATGGATGGTGGATACCACAATTATCCCTCACACGATACTCTAACAGGAAGGAAGGCATGCGCAAAAACCTGTCACACCCATAGGCACATGTCTGCAGGTGGGGAGATGGGAACATCGAGACTAGATCGGTGGTATATTCAAGTAGGGAGCAAGGCGGCATTAATCAGAGGGGTTACGACAAGAGAACATGCCTGTAATTCGGATCATAGAACGGTTTTGCTGGAGCTTCACCCAGAGACGGGGAAGATTCGGCTCAAGAAGCGGTCCGTACTCTATCCAGTCCCGAACTATGTCGCGGCAGTAACCAAAAATCTTATCAAGTTCAGACTAGGAGCCTTCCATGCGCAACTGGATTCGACAAGCAAAGAGACGTCGAGCCAGCTATGGGAGACTTTTAAAAGCAACTTAAAAGCGGAGATGCGGTCCCTAAAGAAGGTAGCTCAACACAGAATGGTGAATGCATACAGACTAAAAATCAAGCGGCTCAAGCAGAAGCTGGAGAATCTGGACTATGCCTCGGAAACCTGCTCGAGGGAACGAGACGCAACCGTGAAACACCTCGAACTGCTGCAGAAAAAATAGGAGAAGGTTGAAGACAGTGTTGATCATCGCCAGATCAGCGTGGAGATCGAAGTCATCAACACGACACTTCTTCATGAGGATTTCCACCAAAATCGGAGATAATGTCATTCCAAGACTGAAAAGTCCATCCCAAAACATGGTACGTGGAGAAGATGACAAGGCCAAGATATTCGCGGACAGCTGGACGCCGATTTTCAACAGTCTCTCAGAAGATGGCGAGTCGATGGCTAACTATGTGGCTACTATGGCGGGTCGGTGGGCACCGAAACTTTGGCCGGATTTGGATGAGGAAATTGACGCAGAGAAGACAAGGGACGCCATAGGGCGCTATAAAGCAGGGAAAGCATGCAGACCGGATGATCTCGGGAACGGGTGGTACATGGATCATGTTGACGAGCTAGTTCCCATTTTAACCAGACTGTATAATGACTGTATGGACACGGGTGTCACTCCGAGAAGCTTTGGGGGAGCTTACATCTTCAGCATTGCAAAGGAGGAGACACCAGTGATCCCGTGAATTATCGGCTGATAGCACTACACAATTCCGATTACAAGCTTTTTACAAGGATCTTAGCGAGACGATTCAGGAACACATCGCAGACATGGTTCACAATACACAGTATGGCTTCGTACCGAACAGGTCAATTCACGCAGCTATCGACCTGTTCGTGGCCGCGAAAGCCCAGTTCTAACGAGAAGGAACCCATCAGCATGCACAAGTCCTTTTACTGGACTTCGCAAAAGCCTACGACTAACTGGATCGAGGCTTCATGATAAGTGTGTTGGAAGCAAAAGGAGTACCACCGAAGACGTGCAGGGTCATACGAGCTCTACGCAATGACATCACGGTAAGATTTACGGCCAACGGAGAGATCTTTCGAGAGCAATGGGCGTGACGAGTGGGATCCGACAGTGGTGTCCGTTAGTACCCTTACTCTTTATCATTTCCGTGGACCTGCTGTACGACGAAGTGGAGAGGAATTCCAAGCTGACGGGAATAAATCTACATGCTCAGGACAATGATTGGGCGGGCGCGATGAACTTGCAGGTCGCAGGGTATGCAGATGATGCGGCAATCTACTGGCGGACAGGTGCCATGCAGACAGAAGCAATTGAGGCAGTTGCTGCTTTCTCGGTGGTCTCGGGGCTTTGGTTGAACGTGGATAAGTCGAAGGCAATTAGGCTCGGAGGAGAGCAGGTGGAAAGCACCCACAACGACAGTGCGGCACAAAACAACGTGGTGGAAGAGGTTGAAAGCACCAGATACCTAGGGCATATTGCTGCTATGGGAGATACATGTTCACCGGCATAGAACACAGCTTTGGTGGACACTCGCGTACGATTGGCTTTAGCGGAGGGGAAGACCAACTCGGTACATCAGAGAGCAAAAACTGCAGCGGCGGTCGTCATCCCAAAGTTGCTGTATGTGGGCAGACACGCCTGGCGATCCGAAGAAATACTGAAGAAAGCGATTCGATGTATAAAGAATTTCGTATGGAATGCCTCATTCTCGGATCCGGGGAAATCGCCAACTGGATGGATAAACAAAGCAGTAGCGGAGCAAAAACCAGCTATTGGAGGGATAGGAATGCCCAACTTACAAACCGAGCTGATTGCTATGAGTGCTACCAGGGTCGGTGACTGGGGGCTGACAACGAACGAGGAGAAGCAAGTAGTGGGCGCAATACTGCAAACCAGAGATCAAGGGAAAGCGGAAGCAGTGGTTCCTTCGACGGCGAAGCCCGGAGCAGCGATGCGTAACTCATTGTGGGAGTCAGGAAAGCTGTGGGCGGAGTATGCTTGGGGGATGGTGGAAGGAAACTCGAGGGAGGATAAATCCGCTGCCCAAGAAACACGGAGATTACTTAAGCAGAAGGATGGT